ATGAGGAGCTGATTAAAATATCGACTTGGATGACAGCCAATAAACTTACGCTTTAAAACTGACAAAACCTACTAAAATTATGTTTGGTAGCAGAGCAGGAGATGCACAAATTAACATTAAAATTGACAAACTCCTAATTACCAGAAATAATGAGGGGAAATTCCTAGGCTTATACTTTGACAACAACCTGAATTTCAGCCCCATATCCAGCATATAACCAAAAAAAATATCCAAAACGGTTGGGATCCTCTCCAAGAAACGATACTACGGCCGCAAAATGCCCTTCTCACACTATAAACCCCTCACTTATTTATCCATACCTCACCTATGCTATTAGTGCTTGGGGATCAACTGCAGCAACACACCTAAAGCCAATAATAACCCAACAAAAAGCTGCAGTAAGAATAATCACTAAATCCCATCCCTGGCAACACCCCCCCCCAATCTTCATAGACTTAAACTTACTCCCAGTTCAGTACATCCACACTTACTACTGTGCAATCTACATCTACAGGGCCTTAAACTCTAATATCAACCTTTACCTAAAACGCTTTCTTGATAGTTGTGACAGAACCCACAGGCATAATACTACGACATTCCCCGTGTCCGACTAAACCTTTACAAAAATTCAATGTATGTCAAAGGCCCTAAAATCTGGAGTACCCTACCTGAAACTCTAGAACTGCAGACACATTCATCACCTTCAAAACTACCATTAGAAAACATCTTATCTCCCTGATACACCCCGTCAACTAACTACACGAATACAACCTGGTGGTTCACACTTACACTCACTCACTCATTTGACCATAAACAGAAATATTAATCTCAATCTTAAAATAATGAATCCTGTGATAATCCAATACTGAAACTAATGTACGTGCCAAAACAAAAGCATTCACATTGCTAAAACTCACAAACTAGTATTTAGTCACTTAGCCATAATACCAACTTACCTCATAATTTGTAATATTTTACAATTAAGAATAAAACTAAGTCTGCCCGAAATGCCTAGCCATGCTAAGCGTTCTAGTGGTACATTCTGTAATCACTATTTTACTACATGTAAACCACACAATAACCAAATTTCTGTAAACTCAGCATTGTAATCCTTATAGAGAATAAACTTTGAATTGAATTGAATTGAATATGGGCCTGACATGCATCTACTTGTACGTCAGGCCCATACCTGAGTGTACAGAACCAGTATGGAACACACACCTGGTGAAACACATCAAGAAATTAGAAAAAGTGCAAAGGTTTGCAACAATACTAGTCCCGGAGCTAAGAGGTATGCCCTATGAGGAGAGGTTAAGGGAAATCATCTTGACGATACGAGGACAGGAGAGATAGGGGAGACATGATAGCGACATATAAAATACCAAGAGGAATTGACAAGGTGTATACAACTGGAAGTTGAAAACGCAGATGAGTCACAGGGATGTTAGTATTTCTTCAGTCACAGTTGTCAGGAAGTGGAAAAATCTGTAGTGATGTAGTGGAGACAGAATCCACACATAGCTTTAAGAAGAGATACAACAAAGCTGAAAAAGCAGGAAGAGAGTGGACCTAATAACGATCAGTGAAGAGTCGGGGCTAGGAGCTGTGAACTGACCCCTGCAACCACAGCTAGGAGAGTGTACACACACACACACACACACACACACACTGGAGGACAGGAGGGTCAGGGGAGACATGATAACGACATACAAAATACTGCGTGGAATAGACAAGGTGGAATAGACACAGAAACAAGGGGTCACAACTGGAAGCTGAAGATTCAGATGAGCAAAGGGATGTTAGGAAGTATTTCTTCAGCCACAGAGTTGTTAGGAAGTGGAATAGTCTGGCAAACAATGTAGTGGAGGCAGGAACCATACATAGTTTTAAGACGAGGTATGATAAAGCTCATGGAGCAGGGAAAGGGAGGACCCAGTAGCGGTCAGTGAAGAGGCGGGGCCAGGAGCTGAGTCTCGACCCGTGCAATCACAATTAGGTGAGTACACACACACACGGAAAAGATAATCAAAAGTTGAGTGGTGGATCACCTGCAGAGATGTGGTTTTATAAATTACCAGCACTTGTTTACAGTTAATAGATCTTTAACACACACACGCATCTTGCTGTTCTATGACAAAGTAACAGTAGCGAGGCAAGACAGAACACGATGGATTGACTGAATATTCCTGATCATAATTCAAGATTGTAATCTTTCAGTCCAAGACCTATAATGGCACCTATCCTGACTGGTCCATGTGGCACCTGACCTGGCAGCGCTTCACCTCCAACCGTTTTCTTTATACGTATATTATCGTTTTCATGTTTTCCGTTTACCTGATAAAGCCCCAGCGGGTACAATGCCGTTATTAATAAAAAATGTCTCCACATAAAAGTTTCTGTTTTTACCCTAGAACAAGCTGGGTTGTGCCCCCCCCCCCCCGTCGTCTTACTGTTGGGCTCAGAGCTCTATGACCCTTGTGGGGTTAGCGCTTCTTTTTGATTATAATAATACTGTTGAGTTTGAATTGCGACTAATATACTTTACATAGTTTTACTTATAAGACTGTAATATCGGTAGTATGATGATAATTAGCAGAAAATTAGCACTGCGAGTGTAAAGTCACAATTTCTTAAACCAGGCCTTTTTCTCAGACCGGGCCGCGGGGGCGTTGGCCCCCGCGGCCCTCTCCAGGTGTACTCCAGGTATATCTGTATGTTTCATAACAATAATTAAGCTTTCAAAGGAGCTGATGTAAGTAACAGTTCTTTGCTTCTAAATAAAGTTTGGAATCCTTAACTTAAAAAAAAGGCTGGAGAAAGCAAAAAGTGGCCTTGAGTTTAAGATACTAAGCGGTATCGACGAACATAATAAAACGCATAGCTCCAGGAAGATGTCTCGCACACAAACGATTATATATATATATATATATATATAAAATATATAATATATATATATATATATATATATATATATATATATATATATATATATATATATATATTTATATTTAAATAAAAAAAGGAGACTGTAAGTGGAGTGCATCAGAAGAATAGGATATAGACATAAGCCACAGTGAGTCGATTCATTTAGCATAGGGGAACTCCATAACGTACAATACATTTAAGAACATAAGAACATAAGAACGAAGGAACACTGCAGAAGGCCTACTGGCCCATGCGAGGCAGGTCCAAGTCCCTACCGGCTTAAGCCAATGCACCCAACCTAGTCAGGTCAGGTCACATTGACTTAAGGGAGGAACACGGCAACCGACCTGTTAGCACAAGCTATCAGGTCCAACTCACACCCACCCACATCTACTCATGTATTTATCCAACCTATTTTTAAAGCTACACAACGTTCTGGCCTCTATAACGGTACTTGGGAGTTTGTTCCACTCATCCACAACTCTATTACCAAACCAGTACTTTCCTATATCCCTCCTGAATCTGAATTTTTCCAACTTAAAACCATTGCTGCGAGTCCTGTCTAGGCTAGATATTTTCAGCACACTATTTACATCCCCTTTATTTATTCCTGTCTTCCACTTATAAACCTCAATCATATCCCCCCTAATTCTACGTCTTTCTAGAGAGTGCAGTTTCAGGGCCCTTAGTCTATCCTCATAGGGAAGGTTTCTGATACATGGGATCATCTTTGTCATCCTCCTTTGTACATTTTCCAGAGAATTTATATCCATTCTGTAATACGGTGACCAAAACTGTGCAGCATAATCTAAATGAGGCCTAACCAAGGATGTATAGAGTTGAAGAACAACCTGAGGACTCCTATTATTTATGCTTCTTGATATGAAGCCAAGGATTCTATTAGCTTTATTGCGAACACTTATGCACTGTTGTCTTGGTTTCAGATTACTGCTAACCAGAACTCCTAAATCTTTTTCGCAATCCGTAATATTAAGATCTACATTATTTAGTTTATATGTGGCATGGTTATTGTCCTGTCCAACATTTAGAACTTTGCATTTGTCTATATTAAACTGCATCTGCCATTTCTCCGACCACTGCATCAGTCTATTCAAATCTTCCTGGAGTGCTCGAATGTCCTCGTCAGAATGAATTCGACGGCCTATTTTGGTGTCATCGGCAAACTTGCCGATGTCGCTCTTTATGCCCTCATCTATGTCGTTTATGTAGATTGTGAACAGCAGGGGCCCAACACTGACCCCTGTGGAACACCGCTCGTGACGCTTCCCCACTCTGATTTCTCCCATTTATGCAAACTCTCTGCTGCCTATTTGTCAACCATGCCTCTATCCAGGAAAAAATTTCTCCTCCTATTCCATGTGCTTTAAATTTCCTCAATAGTCTCTGATGTGGGACCCTGTCAAAAGCCTTACTGAAGTCCATATACACAATATCATATTCATTACCATGATCTACCTCCTCAAATACCTTAGTGAAAAAAGTTAATAAATTCGTAAGGCAGGAACGCCCCTTTGTAAAACCATGCTGAGATTCGTTGATTAATTTATGCTTTTCAAGGTGGCTACGAACTGCCTCGGCAATTATTGATTCCATAAATTTTCCCACTATGGAGGTTAGGCTTATTGGTCTATAGTTCGAAGCTAAGGACCTGTCACCTGTTTTGAAAATAGGTATCACATTTGCCATTTTCCACTTATCTGGCACCATGCCAGTTTGTAGTGATATGTTGAAAAGATTAGCCAAAGGTGTGCTAAGCTCCTCTTTACATTCCTTTAGAACCCTTGCATACAGTTCATCAGGGCCTGGGGATTTGTTAGGTTTTAATTTATCTATTTGCCTAAGGACCATGTCACTTGTGACCCTAATAGTGCACAGTTTATTATCGTCCTGTTCTCTCAAGAACATTGTATAATCTTAAAAAAAAAATTAATACTCCATAATTAACTCAAGCTAAAACACGTTAATAAAAACCATTTAATCTTCATATATTTCCCTTCTTAAGTATAAAGAATCCACAACGACAGAGCACATTTACCAGATCAACTGCTGCTTACCATCCAAAACAAGGTCTCGTTAGCGAAGTCTTCGTACTGAGTGATGGTAGACAACACACTGAATATAAGGCAGATCAACACGGCCATAAACCTGTCAAAAAAAATAAAAACAGTTTAGAGAGAAAACTCTGGAAATTTAAGTGATCTAGTGGGATTATTATATTCATGGGCAGCTGTATGAACCATATGGATTCACCGCTTGTTTTCCAATAATAGTATAACAAAGAAGCTACATGGTAGAGGTGAATTCAACTCCAGATTTCCCGTAAAATATTTCTTCAGGTGCTGGGTCCTTGTGAGCAATAATAAAGGCTAGCCAGGAAAATTTGGGTAAAATAATAATGAAAAATCAGGGCAGCCCATGCCACTGAAATGATGCTACCAGTGAGAAAGAATTAAATGTTAATATATAATTTTCGAATCAAACTTAGTTCCTACAAATGGGGGGTCCCTTGAGACTAGCGTCGGGCTCCCAATCCAAGAAATTAGAGCTGCCCTCCCCTTCCTCGGATCAAACTTGATTACCTCCTATTCCACAGGCGCTGTGTAACCCCTACAGCCATACCGTCTTGAATATAATAATTTGTGGAAAAAGATGCCGGAATACTAACAAACATCAATAGTTTTCTGGTACTCGCGAGGGAAATTCATTCTAGATCCAGCTTACAGATTCAAGTAAACTTGATGTAGAGGAAAATTGAAGTGGGATTGTTATTCCCCTGAAATCAAGATTTTACACTACAACTGACTTCGTGTGCAAATATAAATTTTTGGTGTATTTGAAAAAAAAAAAAAAAAAAAAAAATTAATTTGCATGTATTTCCCAAGATTAATTTGTCAGAAGCAGATGTTGATTCTTTGCAAAAAAAAAAAAAAAAAAAAAAAAAAAAAAATGGAAAAGGGTTCCAACTCTATATTAAAGAGGATCATTAAAGGGTTGCAAAGTTTAATGGTCCAAGCCTCTACTTAAATGTTTCCAACCCTCCACCGTAATATATCATGCAAGACTTGACACAGACATTTAAATTCCTCAAATGTGCATTTCTTTAAACTAATTTCCACTAGATTCCTCAAAGCTGCATTTCCTTGCACAGGTCTGCACTGAATATCAAAAGCTCCTCCTGTGCATAACTGCAACTTGGCCAAACACACTGACTTTTAGCACCAAACAACTTCAGCAAACAACTCAGATGATAAATGATCTCTTGACTGACATCACTCAGCTACTTTTACGATTTTTGGGTTAAAATACCCAGTTTTCACCTTCAGTAGCTGTATAGCCCTCGTGGCTTAGCGCTTCTTTTTGATTATAATAATAATTCACCTTCAGTATTTGTATATTGTCAGAGGAGGAGGTGGAGAGATGTGTTTTTGATGAGTTCCTGAGCCAAGAAATTGGCTTCCTTCCTTTTAAAATCAAACCCAATTATTCCCCATTACCCAGGACCTGTATAACATTTATGAGTTTAGTGTTCCCCAAGAAAGTTATAGTAGTAGCAGCAGCAGTAGTCGTAGTAATCGTAATTCACCCTTCAAGGTGATGCTTTGTGAAGTACATCTACACATTATTTGTTTATTTAGCAGATAAATAAAACTTGTGCAACACTTGCATATCTTGACAGTGGATACGTTTCACCCAGCAGTGGTTTTACTGAAACGTCCGCGCGACATGGATACCCATGTGTTACACGTGCGTCTTCATCATCATCTAATAATAATAATAATAATAATAATAATAATATCTTTATTTACTACAAGTACATGTACAAGGTATAAAGACCATAGCTGACATCAATGACATACTACTATATAGAAAGCTGCTTGTTATGCTGAGCATTTCGGGCAAATTAGGTCAGTTTTGTCCCAGGATGCGACCCACACCAGTCGACTAACACCCAGGTACCCATTTTTCTGATGGGATGAACACAGATAACAGGTCAGAAACACGCCCAATGTTTCTACCCTCGCTAGGAATCTAATCCAGACCCTTGCCGTGTGAAGCATTTTTTTTTTTTTTTAGCCACCAGGCCACTTGTCGGCTTTGGATAAACCATTGGATACCATTACTATGTAATTGTGTATTTAGTATTTAATTAAGCTTAGGATTGTTGTTATATCACAAATGAATATTTATTATATTGCCTGAGAGCTGAGACAATGTCTACAGCTTTCTTGCAATAACATTCTTTTCTACTACCTTTGTAACTTGTGAGTTCATTACCTTTGTAACTTGTGAGTTCATTACCTTGTACCTAGTTCAGCCATCAAAACTTTGGAGCCCGGTTCCTGGACCCATTGTGTACCTCTGTAAGATGTAAATACCTTTGTAACTTGTCATGATTGTGACTAGACCTACCTGGAGTTCATTACCTTTGTAAATTGTGAGTTCATTACCTTTGTAAATTGTGAATTCATTACCTCTGTAACTTGCTCAGCTATCAAAACTTTGAGGCCCAGTCCCTGGACCCATTATGTACCTCTGTAATCTTTTGACTACCGCCCACAGGATGGGTATGGGGTGCATAATAAACATATTAAACTAAAAACTGTAGCCAGCTGGCCTAGTGGGTTAGGTGCTGGCATGGAGTTTACGACTCACTCGCCACGAGTTCACATTATGTTCTATATTTACAATTATTTCAACTTATAGGTTTGTACAGTATGTGGGACCTGGTATACGTTAGCATATTATGTGGTGTCACCGCCTAGTATAGTAACTCCAAGTACAACAAACGGTGGGCATGGCTTCCACTCCCCTCCCCCCGATACGCAAAGAAAGACTAGTTAGCGAATATTACAGACACGGGGAAGAGGACATGAGTTATGGTCGCTCTGTCTTCATTACAGTCTCATGTACACACCTTTTGCACAGACAAAAGACAGTGAAGAAATCTGTCATTTTAACAACTGGACAGCCACTGGGAGAGCTGGTCGTTACTCTGAATTTCATTTAGCCTATCCATAAAATACTATTACACTTTACTAAGCATGTATTACACTGTCACTGTTAACTTTTGTCAGCAGTGGGTTGTGTGAGAATTTGAAGTGCTATAATTTTGGGACATAATTGCTGTGGAATGGGTTTCGACCTAGTCTTCAGACAGAATGTGATGCCCTTACTTGAGCACAATACAGGGATTGACTGTGATTCATTTTAAATGTTGTTAGCTTTACTTATGTTTCTGAACAAGCGTATTAAACCATTAGAACGCCCTACCCTGCAGTGCATTATGACCCTTGTGCCCCTCAAGGGAGGTTCCTTGACGCTGACGAGGGGCTCTTGATCTAGGGAATTGGATCTGAGCTCCAGTTCCCTGAACTGAGCCTGAATACCTTCCATCCCCCCCCCCAAATGCGCTGTATAATCCTACGGGTTTAGCGCTCCCCATGATTATAATTATATGACCCTTGTGAGTTTAACTCTTAATTGTAGATGTAGTGCAGATGACAGTGCAGATGTAATAATCCAATACGTTTGGCGTGTTGGATTATTACATCTGCACTGTCTGGTGTCAACTCAGATGCAGGAAGAGGTTTGCTTCTGCGTGCTAAATAGTGAATGGGCTCAATATTTGCCCAGTTTTGTGAACCAGTCCTATTCTAGCAATGAATGAACTGCGTCTCTGATTTGCCATTTCTACACTTGTGGATATAGCCTTTGTCAATTATTATTATTATAATCAGAAAGAAGTGCTAAACTAGCTTTTGTCAAGATATTTACATATGCAGTGTGTTGACTTAGTGTTGTGTGCGAGTTGCACACTTTGATACTTGAGTGTGTCTTAAGAGTCACTTGTGAGCCAGTTAACATACAACGCAGGCGAGTAAGATACATGATTATATACGCTTGTTAAATCCTAGTGGGATTAGTACCAAACTTGCACACGAAAATCACTCCCTATGAAAGCAAAAGGTTCGACAGGAGATGCAACATTTCCCCAATGAATAGCAAGGGCGCCACGAGTACACTGAGCGACAACACAATGAGTGTCAGGGGCCCAAGACTGTTCAATTGTCTCCCAGCATACATAAGGGGGATTACTAATAGACCCCTGGCTGTCTTCAAGAAGGCATTGGACAGGCACCTGAAGTCAGTACCTGACCAGCCAGGCTGTGGTTCGTACGTCAGTTTGTGTTCAACCAGCAGTAATAGCCTGGTTGATCAGTCCGTGATCCACCACGAAGCCTGATCTCAGACCGGGCCGCGGGGGCGTTAATCCCCGAAACCCTTCCCAGGTATACATTTGGTATACCTGGAGAGGGTTTCTATCCCGTACTTCTCATGTAAACTATAAATATATTTGTACAAGATGTCTATTCAGTAAAGATTGTTACATTTTATACTTCATGTTTAACTAAATACCTCAACTGGTAACTAGATTACCGGGTTTGTAACGGTCAGCTGTTTACCTACAAGACAGCGGGATTTTGGAAGCCAAGAATATCTTGCAAGCCTGAGGGTGGTTAAGGGTTCTTGATCCAAGAATATCTTGCAAGCCTGATGCTGGTTAAGGGTTCTTGATCCAAGAATATCTTGCAAGCCTGATGCTGGTTAAGGGTTCTTGATCCAAGAATATCTTGCAAGCCTGATGCTGGTTAAGGGTTCTTGATCCAAGAATATCTTGCAAGCTGAGGTGGTTAAGGGTTCTTGATCCAAGAATATCTTGCAAGCCTGATGCTGGTTAAGGGTTCTTGATCCAAGAATATCTTGCAAGACTGATGCTGGTTAAGGGTTCTTGATCCAAGAATATCTTGCAAGCCTGATGCTGGTTAAGGGTTCTTGATCCAATGAATCACAGCTACCTTTCCATTATTCGGATCAAACTCAATTACCTCCCGTTTTCCAGACGTTGTATGACCCTCCATACGACTTTACCGCTTCCCCAACCTTTACCAGAAAAGACCTACTTTTTAAATCACCACTTTGTTTAAAAGCTCATTCAAAGTTTACCATAATATCTAAATTAGTCATTTAACAAATTATAACTTTGCAGCCATTTATAACTTTCTCTTGGACCAAGTTATTGCCCAAGACAAAGTTAACGTAGTTACGTTTTTGTAGATAAAGTTATAATTCCCTTCTATGAATTA